CCAAACTTTACTCATGGGTCCATATATGGAAGGATTTTAAGAAACCATCTTGCATGTATTAATTAGTGTTGCGAGGATGAAAAGGAATATGTGAACCCATCATTTAAAAAGTCAAGTATTATCACTACATGTTCCACTGTAATTGTAAATTATATATAAATATTATATACATATACACATACATTACTCCAGAAGTTTAAGGCAGCATATAGAGCACTCCATCCTCTAATTTATCCCAGCAATAACCCTGTGGGATATTGAAAATGTTAGTACAACGGCAGTAGTTATAGCAAGGGCAGACTGTAGGACTGAAATTTTTACTTTGTATTGTGTTACAACTTCATCAAATAAAGCATATATTTAAAGTAAAATAAATGAGTCAAAAAGTTTTGAGTACCTGCAAGGAATTACATATATCAGTGTTGGCGAACCTTTTCAGCATCGAGTGCTGAAATGAGAGCACACGCACACATGCGCACGCATGCCAGAAACCAGAAGAGCAGTCACCGGTGTGCATGCATGTGCCGCGAAGATGATCTTCTGTTTCTTGTGTGCACATGCTCATCAGCTGGTCTGCGCATGCCTGCCAAAAAACAGAAGAGCAGCTGCATGCTTTCACATGTGTACCAGATGGCTGCTCTTCCAATTTCCAGAGCTCCCGCATACGTGAAGACCAGCTGGCCAGCACAAGAACCCAGAACAGCAGTGGGCAATGGCTTGCATGTCCGGAAAGATGGCTCTGTGTGCCACTTCTGGCACGTGTGCCATAGGTTCACCATCATGGACATATATAATTGAAGTGAAAGGTAACAATTATTTTACTAGTGCTTTTCCTAAACAATTTTTTCCTGATTTATTTTATACTTCCAAATATTTACCACAAGATTAGGCAAAAGCAATGCCCACTACAATCTATAAACATGTTTGTCATGTAGAGTTTAATATAACATGACCCATGATACTGTATGATAGTTACCTGAAATCTGATATAGGAAACCAAGGCCAATTCCAGGCTTGCTAGGAGGCAGATACTGTGGCTTTAAAACTGTTTTAAAAGTCATAGTGGTCCAGAGCCACTTTGGGTAGCATGGGAGAAGACTCTGTCTCCCATTTCCTTATCACCTTTATGCATGGAGAAAGAGCCGGGGTGGAGCAGTGGTTAGGGTGCAGTACTGCAGGCCACTTCAGCTGACTGTTATCTGCAGTTCAGCGGTTCAAATCTTACCGGCTCAAGGTTGACTCAGCCTTCCATCCTTCCGAGGTGGGTGAAATGAGGACCCAGACTATGGGGGCGATATGCTGACTCTGTAAACTGCTTAGAGAGGGCTGAAAGCCCTATGAATATACACACAGTATATAAGTCTAACTGCTATTGCTATTGCTATTGCTAACTGCTATTGCTAGGTGAAAGCAGGCAGAAAAACCAGATGGCCTTGCTGGGGGTTTAAAGTAAAATGGTCTTTAAGATACTACATTCTAACTATAGTTTCACCAAGGTTAGAATTCTATGACACTCTAGGTCTAAAAACAAAAACTTGCTGTTTAGAGCTATACAAACCTTCCATTAATATCTTGCTCACTTCCAATATGGGCTGCCTTATTGGTTTTGTTTGACTCCAATACTTTCTCCGGCACTCCAAGAATCCTTAAAGTTTATCAACCTTAGCAAGTTTGTGGCTTTCGGACTTCAATTCCTTGAAATCCCCAGCCAGCATGAGAAATGCTAGTGCTTGCAAAATCTGGAAGATGTGTATGCATCCAGGAAGCCTCTGGTCTGAAGCTTCTTCTAGCTTTTGCAAGTGGCAGAGGAAATGAGAGAGAAGGTGACAAAAAACAACCAAGATAACATTTATGCATGTTCTTCATTGAGGCAAACCAGCCAGGAGGTAGGGGAGTCAACTCTTCAGAGTAAATTTGAGGTGGGGGGGGGGGAGAGAGAGAAAGCTAGGACTATTTTGTGCTCTGTCTTTGGTGAATTCAAGATCAGTGAAGATAGTTGTATATGGATCTGCTGACGTCTCAGTTCCTTGATGTTTTTAACTAGTTCAGTGTGAAATAAAGCTATTTATTTGCAAACGTGTGCGTGAAATGCAGGTTTTCAGTATCTATTTTCTTCAGCTACAATGAAGTTCCAGTGGAGACCATTATTTTCCACAAATTAAGCTGACTGTTCTCATCTGGGTAAATGATACCATTGTTTCTTGGCTGAAGCTTTTAGCTTGTTTTTTGTTTCTATATAACTGCTTCCCGTTGTTGTAATTAGATACTAGCTCTTGAGCACCTGTTCTGTTCCTGGCCTAAGTCAGCCTTACATAGGTTGTTGAATTTAATGGGCTCCTCTCAAGACAACTTTGCTAGATGCAGACCACCAGAGGAATAAAACCAGCACATTCAAAAGAATAATTACATTTTCAGTAGAGACATGTTTGGCATCAAGCTGAATACACAAGCTGTGAGTGAAAAGTGGATTAAAATTCCAATAGGCTTTCTTCTTTTTTTTATGAAATCTGCCAGAATTCTTATGACTTTACAGAAAATGAGCTAAGCTACCCTCTGCATTCTGTGACATTCAACTTATTTAATAGAAGGATGATTGAAAATCATCGTAACTACAATTGAGATATTAACCTGGAGTCCACCCTCCAGATGTGAAATCAATTAAATGCTGAATTGTTTTTGGTTACTGCATAAGCAGCCTCAGTCATTAGTTTTAAACACATTTCTTTATCATCAGTAGGTAATGCATGATTTAGTTTATTTTTATTGGGACTCATCCAGTGCATAATCATTATAGTTAATATTGTATGAAAGTAAATTTGGCCTACTAGTTTTGGCACTAGCTAGAAACCAAGAGACTATGAGTTTTAGTCCTACCTTAATATGATAGCTGGCTGGGTGACGTTGGACCAGTCACTTTTTCTCAACCAGCAACATCAGGTTCAGTTGAAAAACTAACTGATCAATTCTTGTCACAACCAACAATACTAGGTTGAGCACACACACACAAATTGCTAGGAAAGAAAATACTAGGAAGAAAAAAAAGTTTTGCTGTTTATACCTCTACACTGGGTATTGAACCCATAAGCCCATGATGGTACGCGTGCCTCAGCTGGTATGCGGAGTCCTCCTGCAGGCACGCGACCCCTAGCCACTATCAGCTCCACCGCGTATGCACGCGTGCTTCCCACTGGCCAGCTGATTTTCGGGTCTCTAACGCATGCGGAAGATGTGCGCATATGTGTGGGGAGGGTGTGTGCGCCCCCCCACACCCTGTTTTTGGTCTCATAAGGCTTCAAGGCCTGCTAGGCCCAAAATGGGCCAGGTGGGGGAGTGTCACGTGCGCATTGCATTATGGGTGTGGGTGCACACGCATACTTTCAGCACACGAGGACAGAAAGGTTAGCCATCACTGCCAGAAGCCATTGTGCTTTATAAAGCGCACCTAATTTATGATCCTTGGTAGTCAGGGTAAATCAGAAGGGAGATATATGGCACGTGGACAAGATTTTACTGACCCATGGTAGTGACTGCTTGATTTATCAAAATCCACAAGCAAATAGGAGCAAGTGTGCCAAATTATTTGCTGCAATTAGCAAAGCACCTGGAAACTCTGGGCTTCAGGTACAAAGGTTTTACTGCATCAACCTTGAGTGGGCAGAACTGATCACACCAGCCAAGAAAAAGATCCTCCTAATTGCATGAGTAATTTTTTTTAGTACCAACATATCCAAGTGAACCCAGCAACCATTTGCTTCATTTCAAAACCAAATTAACTTTTGAAAAGTACATGGCCATATGAATTTTTAAGAGGGGGAAGCAGTAGAAATTCTATCCTTAGCATTCATTCAGCCGTGCAAGCACTGCCAAATGATTTGTTTGCAGATCATCTCAAGAGCTACATTTGCCAAAGGCAAAAGTTAATAAATGTAAATACCTTCACAAATTAGCCATGCAAAAAGAGAGCTACTTCTAAAGAATAGGCATCGTTTGAACCAATTTCCTTCATTGTTAGTGGTTTTAAAGCAAGCTTCTTAATATACTATTAAAATAGTATTTCATTAATGGATCAATTTGGTTCATTATTGCTGCATTCCCCTGATATTTCATGGCTTTTTATTTGAAAACTAAAATGAAATAGTAGAACTGGTTGCCATTAAGTAAATGAACAGTGGGAGAAGATGCAATTTGGTACTGCCTCCCTTCTGAATTTCACCAAACATATTTCTGTTATTATTCATCTTTAATTGGATTTTATTAAAATATATTTTGTGAAAAATATATATAAAACCTATGTATATAATTAGATAGATAGATAGATAGATAGATAGATAGATAGATAGATAGATAGATAGATAGATAGATAGATAGATAGATAGATAGATATAGACAGACAGACAGACAGACAGACTTGTCCATAGAGAAAAAAGACTACAATTTCATTTAATTGACAATATATTCAAAATGCTTGCTGGTTATATAAGCCTTTATCTTTTACTTGTTCTGCAATTTCAAGAGTGTGCATAAAACCAATCTATAACCTTCTTGCTATTTGAATATTTGTGCCTAACCCATATCAGTCTGTGCTTATGTCCCACTGACACTTTAATAACCAAAGCTATTGAAATTAGGAACCTCATTTTCAATAACATTAAATGCCTTGCTTAGATCACACTACAAAGCATAATTGTAAAAGTAATACCTTAGAATTCCTACCCTGTCCAAAGGTTACTCGCTAGATTGTCCCATGTACCCTTAAATGTATCACCTAGACAGAGTTTTGAGAATGATGGACATTAAAATCAAACACATTTGGAGAGATCCTCTCCTTTGGGGAAGCTGTTTAAAGGACAGTCATAAATTTACCAGGCAGCAGCAGCAATATATTCTATAGTAGGAAACAGAAGACAATATTTCTACCAACCTTTGATTGAATGCATCCTGTGCATGCCAACCTTTCACAGGAATACTGAAACATTTTTCAGGAATGAAAAGGCCTTCAGTTCATCAAAAACACATTGTTTAATGTAACCGTTATGAACTCAGAACACTAGAATTAAATTCATAAATAAAAAATATAAAACGTGGCTGCTACAATCCAGTACTCCTGTATTATTAGCAAAAAGAGGCAGAGAGGAAACTAGGTTTATTAGGTCCTTCTGAGCCTAGAAGTCCTCACACCCTTAAAGTTACAACTATGAACTAAGAATGCTGTGGAATGGCAGAGTAGCTTGTGTGAGAGATTGTAGATTAGGGGTGTCAAACTCCATTTCATTGAGGGACGCATCAGGGTTGTGTTTGACCTCAGGAAGCTGGGTGGGCGTGGCCAGCTAGATGTCCCTCATGTTGGGGGCATCTATGGTGGCTCAAGTGCTCTGCAAGCAAAAACGGAGCTCAGGAGGGCCATGTGTAGCCCACCTGAGCTTCGTTTTCGCTAGCAGAAGCATCACGGGCCAGTCCTTCGCTGTTTCCAGGGCAGCCCCATGGGCCAGATCTAAGTACTCTGTGGGCCGGATCTGGCCCACGGGCCTTGAGTTTGACACCCCTATTGTAGAGCATTTATGGCTCTGAGCAGGAATATGGCATGGAAAGATCAGCTATTCCTATTGCTTCTGAAAATAACACTCACTTGTTACTCAAGAAAACAAATCGAATGTGTCTTCCAAGGTTTCTTGGAGCTTGAACATGATAAAGATTAACGATATTTATACCAAGTGATTTAATGATACATAATTGCCCATGACTTTAACAAATACCTGGGCATTGCTACTGAAATGTAGTATCTGAAATCGAAGGAAACATATTAGCTGCATGTTTTAAAGAAACACTTAAATTTGTGCTTTATTTACTGATGTAAGATAATCAGTATCTTTAAATGTTGTTACTAATGATTTCCACGCTACAGTTATAGATATCAGTATATCAGTTTTCCCATATTTTATTTTTTAACACTTTAATTTGGCTTTTGTTCTAATTTTCCAAATAATGTCCTTATTAAATATTACATTTAACATGGTTTCATGTGGATTGTTTTTTAAAAAATAGAATTGCTATAAGCAAATAACACTTGATGTGACATTTCAAATATTTATAAAATACAGTATATTAATATTTGCATTTACAATATTTAAGTATTGTATAAAAATGAAGTAAAATCCCTGACAGACAATTATGTTTTTTTAACAAAAAAAAATTCCCATATGCTTACTTTATGCTTACTTTAGCAGTACAGTTAAATTACTATTTTAACTCATGAATAATATCTGATCATCCCTTCCCATTAACAAAACAGTTTTCACCTGACAGATAAAAAGTATATCTCCACCATGTTTTTATAATCAGCTCAAATCATTTCATCAGTCCTCACAGAATCTTCAATGAAATCCTCTTCATTGAAGGTTATGGACCATATTTTACTACACTGGTCTGAGTAGATTTTTTTGAATTTCATAGTCTAAACAAAGAGAGAAAATGGCTGGCTCAAAGTCACCCAGCTGGCTTCCATGCCTAATTGAGGAGCAGGACTTGACTTTATTCATTCCTAGTCCACCACACTGGTTCACATTTAAATTCCTCCATGTTTATCATTAAAAGTCATCCCAAACAACCAGAACCCTCTGAAGCGGTAACCTTCAGGATAAAATATATTTAGAAAATAACTCCATTCACAAATAGCTGGCACCTGGCAAAGTTGTCAATTTAAAATGTTTCAGGCTCAAAATCTAATTTTGTCATCAACTACATGTAGTCCTCAATTTACTAATATAATTAAGCCTGGAATTATGGTGGTTAAGTCATGGTGGTAGTTGTTTAGAGGATCACCTTGTGACCATGATTGATTTTAGCAACCTGTTTGCGGTTGTAAGCAAATACCATATTCATTAAGTTAGTGCCATGGTCATAAAATAAAACCTGTTTTACCCAATGGGCTTTTTTGTTGTTGTTGTTGTTGGAAACCAGGAATAAAAATGCCATATGACTGCAGTAAACAGCCATAATTGTGAGTTGGTTGCCAAGCTTCCAGAATGCAATCCCATGAACCCAGAGGAGAGTACAGTCATTCAAAATCAGGTTGTACGTAGTTCTGAGGAGGTCCATTGTAACTTTGAATGGTAGCTAAATGATAATATTGAAACAGACATACAGGGAATCCTCATTTAATGACTAGTCATTAAGTGAGGATTCCCTGCATGGCTGTTTCAAAATGTCAATCAGATAATCATTAGAAACATTACATCTTTATACATCTTTGTATAATAATTATCCATTTAAATACAAATCTCTTTATCAAATTAACATTATTAATTATATATAATTATTATTATAACTTAGCATTATTTTAATTGTTCTTTGGAATATCTTGATAAAATATGCATTCTAACAAAATGTATTAGGTTTGTCTCTGTAAAAAATATTGTCGTGAGAGTTGCCATAAGGCAAAGTGCTCCAACTGTGACGTGAATTAATCTGGCCATCCACCCTTTATCACAGCACAGAAACACCTATAAAGAAAAGAAACTGAAATTACTATGACGAAGAAAGCAAACATATCTTACCACCAGGTTAATGCTTTTGATTCAAAGGTAAAGGAAAGATGGTATCATCTACAGACTATAACCTGTTTCTTAATCATTTTCTTGCAAAATTGCCCTATATAGCAAAATTGCCCTATATATAGCAATAACAATAAAACTTAGATTTATATACCGCTTTACAGTGCTTTATAGCCCTCTCTAAGCAGTCTACGGAGTCAGCCTATTGCCCCCAACAATCTGGGTCCTCATTTTACCCACCTTGGAAGAATGGAAAGCTGAGTCAACCTTGAGCCTAGTGAGATTGGAACTGCCAAATGCAGGCAGCTGGCAGTCAACAGAAGTAGCCTGCAGTACTGCACTTGAACTACTGTGCAACTGTTGCTCAAATAATTCAGATATGATTTAAAAGTAATGTCTGATCCAAAACTATTCACAACTCTAGCAGAATGGAAGCTGCTAGGGACACTGCAGCATGATAATCAGGTATTCAAACCTTTAGAATCTTTTTAATAAAGGTAATTGATCTCCTATTGGCATTATTTCTGAACCATTTATGGAATAAAAAACATGAACCATGTGCCACCTATTTCATAGGTAGATGCAGGCACATTAAGTACATGGAAAAAGACACCCCATTCGTATTTGCAAGTATGATCTGTATATACGGAACAGCAATATGTCATTTCTCCACTTTGTTTATTATGCAATTTATTTAACAATACTATTTTCTTTAGGTTCAGAAACCCAGAAAAGGGTCTTTTAAGTTGACAAATTGAGAAGATGCAGCTATTTTGACCTAGTGGGTTAAAGGGGCACTTCAAAAAATGACTCTCCGATCAGTGAAAGGAAGTGCTAGTTTAGTCACCTGCTTTGTCCAAATGAAACAAAGTGGAAGAAAAAATATCACCCACCTCTGAAACCTTAGTGCTCATCCCACTGATGATATAAACAACAACCAGGAATCGTGAAATAAGAAGGCCCTTCAAAGGTCTGTAAGGGCTGCATTCGAAGTATCTATAGATGTAGTGGAGGCTGTGTAAAATTCGGATCCCCATATTGAAGCAGTTGGCAAGGACAAATCCTATGCTCCCTAGCCAAGAGGTCAAGAAATAGGACAGGCACAGAAATGCAAAGGACAAACCCAGCATGACAAAGTTATACCTAAAAACAAAAATAAAAGAAGTAAAAACATTTTCCGCATTTCAGAATCTCAGCAATTTAAGGTTTTAGAGATGGAATTATTTTTAGGCAACTTTTAAGTAAACCTCTAACTTGTTCCATATGCAGATCTCATTGGCTAGGAACCAAAAAAAAAAAGCAGGGCACTGCTGTAACATCTTGTAATGTAGATATATGGAGTAGGTGAGTTTCAGTTCCCTTCCTTGAGACTAACTCAGGAAGTAAAATTAAACCATGAAATTTTATTCAAGTGTCAAATTTGTATTTGGTTCATTTTCTGCATGTCTGTCTTTTGTAAATTGACCATCCTTTAGTTTAATCCTAGTCCAGACAATTTATTAATCTTATTTATGAGCAGCAATATTCCAGATATGGCTAGAAGAGAAAATAGTTTTATCGTTTTCTACCATCTATGACCCCACCTTCCAAAAACTTAAAAGAAGAAAAACACATTGACTATTGTGGGAAAAAAATACATTTAAAATGATTATGATGAAAGAGACACAGATTACATCCACACTATAAGTAGGTGTGAGATACAATATATGCACTGCTTTGAACGTTGAGAAAATGTTTTATTATACGTACAAACCTCATTGAATCTCAGTACTAAATTATGAGCTTTTGTATATTTTTTTCTTCTTCTCTTTTTTCTATCTTTTGTGGCAGCCTCAGAAAGATTAAAAGCTTTCAGGCCTGTATTCAATTTAAGAACAGCTTATCATTACATCCAAAGTATAGCAAACTGAGGTATATAGCTATGGCATAGAAAACCAATTACCAACCACAGCTGCTGATCCTGACTTAGTCCCTTAACTATTATTACAAAGATTAACATTAGTTTTGGACTTAGCTATAAAATATGTAAATTAAACAAGAGGTTAAAAATGTCTGATCTCTTGACATACTTCCAGAGAGAGAGAAAGTTTGTGTATGTCATACCAAAAGAGTAGTTTGGCATTATGTCCAAACAAGATGATATAAAATGAGATATAAGGATGATATAAATAACAACACACAATCAATCATCATAAGTTTTATTAAGGTTTTTTTTAATTAAAAAAAGACTTTGCTGAAAAGCTGATGAAGTCTAAAAACTGAACTGAAAAGTAAGGCAACCACAAATATGCATTGATGGTAATTGAGTTTTAGAGGACTGTCTGTCAATATTAGTATTTCTGTTATGTGGATGAGCTTATAAATAGTGACATCTATTTATGTCAATTTAAAATGGAACATTTAATAACAGTACCTTTTCTCTCTGCCCACACCTTTATGTACAGAGAATTGTTTTGCTATGCCACTGATCAAACTGAACTAAATAGTATCTTAAACATCCTTTTAATATTTAAGTGTCTCTACTTTCCTCACACTCATGCTGTCTAAGGAAGTCCTCTAATGCACAGGCTCCCATGCGTGGGAAGTGAGAATTAATAACGAATTCATGAAAATGAAGATTAATTCAATATTATTCCGATCTTGAACTAGAATGCTGTAATGAACATCTTCAAGGTTTTTGCCTTTCACACTAGAGGATAGCTTTACTGGGAATTTACAATTAATCACATCTTACAACTCTCTGAAATGTATTTTACTTGATCAAAAGTCAATTTAAAACAAAATTATGGAAGCTGCACAGTGACAGGAATTTGCAGAGAAGCCTACATTATCTTAAATATGTAATTCAAAATGTTAAATGTTTAATTAATCATTTGTTTTTCAGTGGGATAAGTTCTCTATAAAGTTAAATTTGACTGAAATATACAAGAGACATATCCTTAGTCAATAAAGTTAGCATATGTAGCATCAGAATTTTTTCAGAAGAAAAACAGAATAGGTTCACTGAACAAGTGTTTCTTACTTATAAAGTTTAGAAGCAAAGATTTATTTTTTTATGTACAAGAGCTCCACAACATATAGTGGTGTCACAGCAAAGTTAACAGGAGGCTGGCAGCTATTATTATGCCAGTCGCACTACTGAAATTAGTTCACAGCCATAACAGAAAGACCTAAAGCAGACCTTTATGATGAAGCTTATTCTCAATAGAAGAAGCTGCACTGTATTTTAAAGGCTAACCCTTTCACAGATTTCAGGAATAATTGTTCTGCTTCTAGCAGAGTCTGTGGAGTGAGTACAAGGTTTAAAGATCAGTATCAACAAAGGTCAGGCACCCAGGATCAAGCAGAATGAGTTTGCCCACTGAGACCAAGGGTAGCATCTTATTTCTTTTGTCACACCAGTGAATGTGGAGAAGTAAATCCTAACTGCTATGCTTAGTTTTAAGACTTTGCACTTCATATATTTAAAAAGACTATGAGTAAGTTCCTGATACCATTTTACGAACCATTGATGTGGACTAGCATTTTATTGTAGCCCTGTAAATTTACATAATGCACCATTCAGAATAATATGACTAAAAGATATCATACAGATAAAAATCTTCAAAGAGGGATCACTAGGAATATTTGAAAATCTCAATATTTTAGCTATGTGGATGGCTACTTATAAGCAAATGTTAGGTGTTCATTGACTGCTAAAAAACCGAGTCAGATGTATATCTTCCTTGAAAAAGAGTTATCATAAACATAATGGACCATATCAAAGGTGTCATATAAAAGGTAACGGTTCCCCTCATACATATGTGCTAGTCGTTCCCGACTCTAGGGGATGATGCTCATCTCCGTTTCAAAGCCAAAGAGTCAGTGCTGTCTGAAGATGTCTCCGTGGCCATTGGCCAGCATGACTAAACGCCGAAGGTGCACAGAACACTGTTATCTTCCCACCAAAAGTGGTTCCTATTTTTCTACATGAATTTTTACATGCTTTCAAACTGCTAGGTTGGCAGAAACTGGGACAAGTAACGGGAGCTCGCTCTATTACACGGTGCTAGTGATTCAAACCACTGAACCATATCTAGCAGTAACCATATGTTTATTGCTATATAAGAAATATTCAGCTAAATGGTGACTGGAAATGGCAGAGAAGCCTATCTATATACAACTAAATCTCTTTTTTTTCCTGTAAACTTTAACTGGGTAAAGCAGTGCCCTTAGGGCAAAGTGTTTTGAACCAAACAAAATAACTTACAGAATGTGTTTAAAATCTGAGACCCATGCCTTTCATAGAATTTTATAAAAATTTATAAAACATTTTATGACATAAAAATTACCATAAAAGAGTTTACGACATAATAACCAAATATCATATTCTGATATTTGATTGTGCTATACAGTTGAACAAGGGTTATTTTCAAGGCAGATATATATGAATGTATCCCAATTTTTTAGGGAAGGCAGTACATAAGAAGTTCTGTCATTGTTGAACCCAGAAGAGAGACTGATGAAGACAATATAAGAATAAAGAAAGAAAACAACCAGAAACGTAGAAGAAGCAGTGTGAATTTTCTGTAGTTTGCAGTTGGTAAGCTTTAGGTTTTCCAAAGTTCTATGAAAACTTTATGGAGTTACATGATAGAGAAGAAAGTGGGAGGGAAATCACTTGAATGCAGTTTTGGGCACTCATGGTAATTTTTCTAAGGTTTAATGAAACGAGCAGGGTGGATCAGCTAATTTTCAGAAGCAGGTACCAAAGGTTAGCAATATTAATAGCACTAAGATGTATATACCTCTCCATACAGTTTTATTCTAAAAAATTCTAAGATTCTGTGGCCTGAACAACTCTGAAAGTCTTTGTTCATTGACTATTTTCCCTGCTCCAAATACAGATCAGGCACATACAAATTAATTAAAAGTTTATAACTAGAATGTTCTTAACTCTTCTTTAAAAATAGGCCAGTATCAAATATTGTTATACATAATGAGGATCAGTTAATAAATTCTGTTGTAATTGGATGAGTTGCTTTATGCTGTAGGCAAATAAATATGCATAGGAACTGCATAAAAGAGCTAGCTAAGATTCTAACAATTCAACCAATAGCTCCCCACAAATACAGCTTGGGATTCTATTCTACAGACTTGAAATTCAGCCCTTTGATATAGAGGTAGCTTTCAACTGATAAAGCTATCATTTTCTGGCTGTTAGAAGTTACAATGGCAATGGAAAAAATAACTTAAGACTGTTTTTCCATACATACAACCATTGCAGCATCCCCATAGTAAATACATGATCAAAATTCAGACACTTGGTAACTGGCATATATTTATGACAGTTCCAGTGTCCTGGAATCATGTGGTCTCCTTTTGCAATTTTATGACAAGCAAAGTCAATAGGGAAGCCAGATTCACTAACAACTGTGTTACTAACTTAACAACTGCAGTGATTCTCTTAACAATTGTGGCAAGAAAGATGGTTAAATGGGGGTAAAACTCACTTAACTGTCTTGCTTAGCAATGGAAGTTTTGGGCTCAATCAAGTCAAGGACTACCTTTATTAGAAAACAATCTAGTATAAATAATTCACAAATCATTATCCCTTTCAAGAATTGTACTCATGAATATCTCCTATGCCTAAGTGGTAGGATTAATGGAATGAATGGAAGAATAGAAGATTCATACCCAAGATCATGTTCAACCTCAATCTTCGCAATATCCAGGTGTGCAATTTCATTTATTGGGGACACCCCTAACGTGACTTTGAGAAGCTTAATTAAAATCAACTCTTCAACTCCAATTGATTATACATCTAGATGAATCTTCAGGGACTAGGTGAGTTATGTACATAAACTTGTCTAACAATCAGTAAACTTCCCAGTTATATTAAATCTTTCAGTTCATGAATAGCTCCTTGTGTAAATGAATGTTTCTTTTTCTATGCATGGGAGAATAGCTATCAAATTTAAGCTGTTACTTATTCTGAGGTTCTTTCTCATTCAAAATTACAGACAATGTAGAATTAAAATTAACTTTTGGTAATTGTGGCAATTTTACATTACCTGTCCACTTCTTCTTTAGACATTGAAGCAAATGTAAAACACTCTGTTATCCCATTAACAGCAAGCAGCAGGACATACAAACTATACCAACGCAGGAGAGTTGGACCTGATTAAACATTGTGACAAGTAAATTAATCACACATAACTTTATTTTTGTACAAAGATGCAAATAAAAATATTAAATTATAAAACACAATCACCATAATCTAACAATTTAATTTTTTACTTTAATTCAAATATTCAATTTCAATTTAGGTTTGAATATGGGTTAAACTCTGGAGGCAATTTTTTATTTTATTTAGTTATTAAATGTATATGCTATTCTATATATGGTAAGACAGCACTGGGCTGCTCCTTTTCTTAGTCTCCATCAATGTCAGAGAAAGCTTTACTAGACAAACTAAAGGCCTCAAAAAGCCTGTTGCAAGCCAGATGGCTGCTTTGAATGTGCAATCCATTAACAGAATTATACATCTTTTTCACAAAAGTGGCAGATGCCAAAAGACAATTAATCTATTCTGCTTATTCCAAAATTAATTTTATATTAAAATTGAGTCAGCCATTGAAAGCTATATAAATGTATGTGTAATATATGAACACATAGAAAATCAAACCAAATAAATAGATAGGTTGATAGATATTTCAATTCTAGCAAGTCTTTCACGTGTCAGGAAAAATGTTGCGGCTTTATCTTAAATTATGAGAGTGGAACCTGCAGCCCACCAGATGTTATTAGGCTACTATCCCTGTGCAACTTAAATCAGTATGCCCAATGGTGAAGGAAACTAGAAGCTTTACTTCAGCGAAGTCTAGAGACCAGAGGTTTCCTTCTCCAATTATAAAAGATGAATTGAATACAGAAGCAAACCACTAACAATATAACATTGGTTCTTCTGGCATATTTTCCCTTCCCACTTCCTCTATGTAGAATTTGCTTTCAAAATGGTTGCTGATCTTTCCATCAAAGGAAGATAATCCATTTCTGGATGTAGCACCTAGAAAATCATCCCAGTATTCATAGCACTGCAACCTTATTTGTTGTATGTGTAATGTCTCGATATAATAGCAAAAATGCAGATGCACAAAACCAGATTTGAAGGGAAAGAATGTGCATCTTTTCCTGATCTTGTTGAAAATAGATGCTTGATTTAAAGAAAGGCAGTTAAATGTGACATGAATGTCTACACACACTCTGACTCATTTCTCTCCTTTGAATTCAGGTAATTGCACAGTCCTTTCAACATGTACTAAATCCAAATCTGGGCAGCAAAAATCTAGACAACTAGAATAGATCAAGTAACATGATTGCTATGCGTCAATTCTTCCAAATATTCTGTACATTTTCCAGAGATAAAAGTCTATCAAAGAGGCTTTCAAAACATTTTTTTATTTATGAAAGTACTTTTCAGAAAGTAAATAAGTACTACCTGATCCTGAACTAAGCATTGATCCTCCATAAAGATCCAGTGCCAAATGTGAATAGGCAAAACCAAATACTGTAATAGTTAAGCCGATCAGAAGCACCAGTTTCAACAGTGATTCTAATACAGTAGCTGCCATAGAAATTTCATCCTAAAAAGGAATTATATATTTATTTAATATAAACAATAAAACTGTTCAAGATTGTTATGCTAAATGTAAACACAGAATAATCAGATTTTATTCATTTCTTTATTTGTATTAAATTTATAGAGCAATGGGGAACTCTTGGCATCTTTATAAGGTGCTATGTTTAGTTTTTTAGTCATAGTGAGGTTATTAAAATTAAGCAAAGGGCATTTTTGTAGAATATGTTTGATAGTAGACACTTTTAAATATACATGATATGCTGCAACTTACAGACATAAATTGATCTGTACAAATTGCTTCATTAAAAATATCTTAATTTCACTGGGAAATCTGCTATGGGAAAGTAAATCTATTTGACAGCTACCTTCAAATGCAGTATAGGGAAAGCAAGAACACGCAACACTCCTAGTAAACTATATCAGACTTTATTTTTTACTTTTACAGCAAATCAATCAGATCTTAAAATAAACATGATACTTAGCCTACTCTATCTAGGCTACAAAAATCCACATGACTGTAAATGAAAATTCTCTTTGTTGCCATTTAATGATCTTCCAGATTTCTGCGGTCTAGATTTCAAAGCCTTAATTATCTTGCATTGTTTGTTTGTTTGTTTTAAATTTAGATCTTTTCTCCAGGATTCAAAACAGCATGTCTAGCACTCTCCTTCAATTGTTTTTTCCCACAGTAAGAGGCCTCTGTAGTAGGTAAATTATGTAATATTACTTCTACATAATATTTTGCATTTTACTCATAAACATTTATATGAAATGTATATTCATACTTATTCAAGAGCTAGTAATCCAATCCAGAGTACTTTCACCGAAAATAATTTACTACGATGAAATTAATTGAAAATAACATCCTGCTTTTAAATCACAAATTCTAGCATAATTTTACCATATTTATATATGCTAAATATTTATACATATATACAAATAAAGATATATGTACAGAATACACACACACACACACACACACACACACATATATAGGACAGTGTGTTTCCTTTAACATTTTTAAACCATGATCAAGATTTTTCTTACTTAGTTCTGTGAACTACTTTAGAGCTAATTAACATACAAGGAGGCCTCTTGGAAGGACAGAAGACCAGCACTGTTCTGAAATTAGCCAAATAAATTTTTCTGAGAAGAGTTCATTATCCTCCAGTTGCTATTCCCGGGGACTAATGGTGGAGGAAACTGACTCTGAGGCCATATCGTCCATACACTTATCCCTCAGCCTTTTAGACCTTCCATTAACTTCAGAGAGCTATTTGTAAAATGCAACAAATATATTCCTTCCTTTTACCCATCCTCATTTTCTCACCATTCAATTTCACCAAATAGCTTTCTGTCATAATATAGAGGTTCTATATATCATGAGAAGAAAAAATCTTACGTACATTCTCCATTCTATGCTTAATTATACATCTATCAGTTTTCCTCTCTTTCTAGTGAAAACGTGTATTAATGCTTTAGAAAACACTGATCAATACTTTCATCCTTTTTACTTCTATAGCGTGTTAAATTAACAAATGATAAGACTAAACCTACCTGCTTTTGCAACTTAGTATCTTTCCCACGTTCTAGAACTTTAGCAAAGTATACATAAAAACTCTCTTCTATTGGTAAAAATATAAATCTAGCTGTCAAAGAACCAAGGTTGTTTATAATATCATAAACACCTTTGGAAAGGAGGAGAAAAATAAAGTTAATACATTTATTATTAACTTAATGTCTGTTCACAATATAAATTAGTCTCTATATAAATCATGTTTCTATTAAGATTAAAAATATTGCAAGTATTATATTAAGATTAAAAGTATTATAAATATTATAAGTAACATTCTACAAGGTTTCAGATAAATTATTTGAATAACACTTGCAACCCAGGGAGCCAATATAATTTTAAAATAATATAATAATTTATTTTTATAACAACAATCAACCTAATAGAGAAATCTACTCCATGCGCACTAATGAACAAACAATTACTGTGACAAATTAATTTCATACAAATGGAAAATCATTTTCAGTTCCAAGTAAAATAAACGATCCCTTTTCAAAGTGCAGAATTTTAACAACACTAAGACCTTGCATTTGTTTCACATTCATTGAACTATAGTAGAAATCTTCAATCTGATGTTTTCCAGATGTGTTAGACTTATATCCTTATAATTCAATGCTCTGGAAACTCATTGACAAATAAAGACCAGCATATTGCCATGTTAGAAAGTCAGCTGTCTCAACTTATCCAATGCAGCATATAAGCTATTATTTCTTTCATTAACATGGAATCAGATATGTCATTATCATTAAGAGAAAGTATACACTTAAAATCAGTTCATTGCAGGACTGAAGTTTACATATGGCATCACTAGGAGACAATTAGAAACTGCCACAATCTATTCATAAATTCATACTGAATATGACTCTTCGATGCCTCACAATTCCGATTTCTCCACAAAAGTACCAACAGCTCTTTTACTGACAGCCATTCCCCAGGGATTTCAAGCTCTGCAGTCATTAATATTGTCCACCAGTTAGGCCTATGCCTAGGCTTTCCTTCCTTCCTTTCTTCCTTCCTTCCTTCCCTCCCTCCCTCCTTTTTGAAAACAAAATCCTGCCTCATAATTCACCTGCATTCACAGAAGATTCCACAGGAAAACAAATTCAATAGTTAGGGATAATGTTTACATCCCACTATCTCCCCCAATTGTTTGCTCAGGTCATCAGTTGAGATCCCTAATATTGATTCATCCATGATTATAATTTAAACTCCATCCTCTCCTGGAACATAGCTAGATAACAAATGAGGAACCCTCTGGAATTACATTACTGTTTTTCACATTTTCTTTTTCCAAGAAACTTGAGTTATGCATGATCTATTTATACTTGGATACACCCACTCTGCTCTAAGAGTCTCACCCGGTATAAACAATGGGAACCCCTCATGAAGTTGAGAATGCAATAATTGTTCCCACTAAATTTGATATTCCTGTGATTACATTAAAGCCATATCCTAGCATGGCCTTAGTGTTTTTCCTTCAATTTAAGCCTTGTACTATTATGATTAATAACAGATACCTCCGTTTTGTAAATATATGACATTAACAGACCTTCTTGATAACTAACTTATTAATTTGCTGTATTTATATCCAGATATTCCAGTATTAATTGCAAGCAACTTGAATGATGCATGCATTGAGATTTGACACTTCCCTGTTAGTTCATTTTAAATGATTTCTCACCCTCCTCCTCAAAAAAAAAAAGAGAGGGGTCTCACAATCTAAAGCAAGGGTGTCAAACCGGCAGCCTACAGGCCAGATGCGTTATGTACAGGCCACGCCAATCCCAACTCCACGAATGGGAAAAACGTCATGAAACATCACGTGATGGCAACATGATGCAGCTAGTTTGACATCAGTGGTCTAAAGCATTATAACAATGTGAGGCTTTTGACTGTCCAAATGAGTGTGGCATTTCTAAGTGCCTCTGCCAGAGGGATTCTAATGGGAAACTCAGTTCCAAGGTCCAAAAGTTAAAAGTGATACCGTAAATTTTAGGCACCTATGTTAATCAAGAAGTCATTTTGTATTGAGATTTGTTTTGCTTGGACAATAATGTTTTATCTGTAGTTTTATAATTGATGTGTAATTATAATTAATGTTTTTCATGTTGTAACCACCCAGAGTCATTGGCTTCAACAGGGATGGCAAATAATTTTATAAATAAATAAATAATAAAATTCCACATTTCGATATCACAATATCGATATGGAGAGAAAAGATACAGTTACTTTGAAGAGTTGCACAGAGATGCTCCACTTGCGTCTGGACAGTCCAAAACATTTGATTTTAAAACTGAAGTACTGCACAACTCCGATCATTGTGACCCTTTGTAATCTTAGTCTCATAATAAGATGATATTAGATAACACACCAACAAAATACCTCAAACCTTTATTATATTTATCATCAAAAATCAGAATTACATAAAAAATGCTTTAAGACTATTTTTAGATATTATCATATATTTCTTCCATGCATGTAAATTTTGTTTAAAAGTTTTTCCTACCTTGGTCTCCAAAATTTAATACATTCAGGAAAGTCATCACATATCTTTCACCTATAGAATTAACATTTCAAATTAATGTTTCTTTGTTAAAGGGTGATCCTGCTCAGGCTTGGGAATAAAGTTTCTCTGCTTAAGAAACTTTATTTGAATTCAAACAAACAGTGTATTCACAGAAAAAGAAGTGACAATAAAGGTTACCTTATACCTTACCTTACCTTACTCTACCCTATCTTATCTTGACAGTTTTCATCATGTTTCCTACTTACACCTTTTAGGAAAGGTTGTTGGGAGAGGCCTGGAGGATTATCTGGACCTTTTTAAGTCATGTTTCAGACCAGGGCATAAACCCAAGACAACACTGATTGTCCTTCTGGAGCAGATGTGTCTATTCTTTCAGTGGCCTCCAAGACCATTACTCATGGTATATTTTGGACCTTGAAACCACTCTGGGGTTGGAGTAGAAGAACACAGCATTGAAGTGGTTCTGCTCCTTATTTCAGAACCAGTTACACTTAGTGTTCTTGGAAAGGAGAGATCTATTCCACGCTCCCTTCTTTGTAGGGCCTCTCGGGGCTCTGTGCTGTCCCCATTTATATTCAACATGTAGCAGCTGAGCAAGATAGTTTGCAAACACTACAATGAGGGTTATCAGCAATATGTTGCTAATTCTCAGGTATGTATCTCTGTCCCAGGATAAGCAAGTGATGGGGTTAATTCTTTGTGTCTGGAAGCGAAGGGAATCTGAATAGGGAAGAACAGGTTCGGTTCAATCCTAGTTTCTTTGGATTTTAGAGCTTCTGGCTGTGATGATTTCCACTTTTAGTACTTGATAGGGTAGCACTGCCTAGTCAGAATTGTGTGCAAATTTCAAGTCCTCCTGGACTTGCAACTCCTATTCAAAGAGTGATTGGCATCCTTCAGTCTCAAAAGACTATGGTATCGTGCTCTGGAAAGAGGTCCTAACGCAGCATCTGGTGTGGCTAAAAAGTCCAATTCAGGAGTGGCAATCCCTTCCACACTGAGAGCAGATACATTCTGTTTCCTGCCCAGCCCCCAGCTTTTGCTGGTTCCGGAACTGCTTTTTGCCTCAGCCTGCCAAACAAGTGTCTCTTCGAATTGGAGAAGGCCATGCTGCGTCTTTAGCCTCCAAGCTGAACGATCAGAGGTCAAGGTTTCCCAGCTGTTAATGTCGATTCCCAAGGCCTTAGATCCCTCTTGCAGATATCCTTATATCGAAGCTGTGGTCTCCCTCTAGGAAGCTTTCCCTGCACTAATTCTCCATATAGGAAATCTTTTGGAATCTGACATTCTCATGACATGCCCAAGCCACCATAGATGTAGGTAACATAGGTAAAATTCAAAGAGTAGGTAACAGCTAATCCAACTGCAAGTTAGATATTTTCCTGAATCAGGAGCCCTGCTCATAGTCACTCATGCCTTGGTATTTCCTGAGTAAACTATTGCAACACACTTTACATGGGGCTGCCTCGGACGGTCTGTAAGTTAGATGTGCCTATCACTAAGTTTGTCTTTCTTATGATTGAAGCTGGTTTGTCCTCAGCCTACACTACTTTTCTTATTTTTCTTTTGGTTTGATTTTAACCCTGTGCACCACACAGAGTCACTGTTGAGAGATTGGTGGCTATATAAACCAGGTAGGTAGGTAGGTAGGTAGGTAGGTAGGTAGGTAGGTAGGTAGGTAGGTAGGTAGGTAGGTAGGTAGGTAGGTAG